TTGTTTTGCCTTGTCTTGTATCCTCACCTGTTTTTGGACTCCTCACCTTGCCTACCCCTCTTGGATTTGCCTGCATATCTGACTTCTGTAACAACCTCCTCTTCTGCCTATGACCACGACTCACGGATCACCCTTTAGGATTACCCTTGTACCACTGACTCCCTGTGTTTGACCCCTGCTTTGCCCTTTGGACCACAAAACTGCATTGCCCCATTGCTCGCAGCATTAAAGGCCTCTTTTTGCAGCTGCTTTCCCACCAGTTCATCTCTTTAAAATCTGACAGGTGGCTCTCACCCCACCTGCCTGCAAACACCTGTTACTGAAATTGGATCCTGAGACTCCAGCAGCAAAAAAAAAAAAAAAAAAAAAAAAAAAAACCTGTTCTTGTTTTTGCCCTCCTGTGTCTGGCTATTTTGAATCCAAAACCCTGGTTCGTGACAGTTTGCTCAGCATTATAGCAAAGGTGTGTCTCAGTTGAACTTTTCCTTAATAAATGCACTTTAATGGTCAAATCAGCTGCATTTTGCCTGGGCGGCACGGTGAAATGCAGCTGATTTGATGACGTTTGCTTGAGGAGTTCCGGAGCGAGATGAAGGTGGCTTGGCATGGCAAGCCAAGCGTCTCATTAATAGCCACTTTTACCAATTAATGAGACACTTGGCTTGCCATAATGCTCAAGGACCCTCTTGCGGCTGGAAATGGTAATGTTTAATATTTTTCATGTCAGAATGAATGATATTGTCAGATCTCAGACAAAAATTGGATTATAAATATAGCGAAAAACATATTAGTCACTTCGGTGTATACGTCGCAGGACTTGCAAACTTATGCAAAAAGGTGCAACTTATACTGTGAAAAATACAGTATTATATCACCACACAAACAAACCCGTGTTTGTTTTTGACATTAATTTAATGCCAAAACATTGTTTTAAACTGTGTAAAAATTGCATAATTAGCAAGAGGTAAAGTCTTATTCACAAATGCATTACAGGTTTTAAATATAATTCATTCTAATTAAAATGGGGTGAGGATAAAAAATAATAAAACAAGCCCAACATGTTTGCAAATAAAAGCAAATGTGAGAATCTCAAAATTTAATATAATTCTTGTTTTTAATATTGTCCTGGACTTTGACTGTTTGCAGACTTTAGCATGGAGTAAACTGTCAGAGCTACCAGGTCTTTAAAAATATTTCTAATCCCATCACACTGCCAGATTTAGTTTTGATAAAAACCAACTGGTTTCTGCATGATTGTGTCCCATCATTCTTCTAGCGTATTAAACCAACACATTTCAAAATGTAGATTGAGTAATATCCGCCAAAAAAGGTTAAAAACAAAACAACTGGACTTTATGTTGTACCTGAAGACGTTTCGCTTCTCATCCGAGGAGCTTTCTCAATTCAAAGAATGGAGAGAGTTGAGTTTGAGTTATAAGTTGAGGTGTTCTGTTAGATACACATGCAGATTGCCCTCTCACTCCTCACAATAGAGGTTTGTTAGGCTCTTTGTTAGACTGACTCACAATAATATGACTATGTAATATTCATTCATCACCCACTGCAGGCTGTGAAATTACATTCTTTGTTAGAAAAGAGTGTGAGAAACTGGAGATTTTTGTGCCGAAGTATGCTAGTGTTCAGGTGTATACATGCCTCATGTGGTGCTTGAGCTGATTCTCTAATTATCAAAAAGGATTAAAAATATAATTAAAAAAATTATCTGAATGGCTATTTTACTTGTTAAATTCTACCTTAATTCACACACTCCCATCAAAGATATCATCCATTAGCTTTACCCGTTTATTCCTTTATGAGTCACGGGAGTCACTGCCCATATTCAGCTATCAATGTGCGAGAGGTGGGGGACACCCTGGACAGGTCTCCAGTCCATCACAGGGACACATAGAGACAAACGAGACAAACAACCATTCACTCTCTCACTCACACCTAGGGACAATTTAGAGTTACCAATCAGCCTAACATGCATGTTTTTGGTCTGTGGGTGGAAACGGGAGTACCCGGGGGAAAACTCACGCATGCACGGAGAGAACATGCAAACTCCACCCAGAAAGACCCCCGGACAGGGAATTGAACCAGGGGAACCTGCTCACTGAGAGTCAGCAGCTCTACCAGTTGTGCCACTGTGCTGCCCCCATCAAAGATATATTTGTATATTTTCTATGTTCGTGATTAAAAAATAAATAAAAATTGGCTACAACTTGGTCAATTCTACAAACACTGAGCTAAAAGCTGGTATGTTAGTAGCTGAATCATCCCTAACACGTTAATTGAGGGCTAATAAATCACGCAAAACCTTTGTTTTCAACTCTTAGAGTCAACCATTTTGTGCATTAGCAAAATATCTCATGTACCACTAGACAGATTTTAAAGAAACTCACTGAATTACTTTATTATTACTTCAATTATTTGTTTGGTGGGCTCCTCAGACTGAAGAAGTCCTTTGGATGAAGAATGATATGTCTCAGCAAAAAAACAAACAAACCGAAACCGTCCAGATGACCCGACTGAACATCGTTGGATTTTTACCTGGATTATTGAGCATGGACTTTGGTGTCACTGAACTACTCATTAGATATATAACTACAACTGATTAACATTTTTTTTATTTAAACCAATACAAGATGGCTTTCACAGCTAATCAATCATAGCAAACAGAAAAATGACTATAACTTAGTCAGTTTTAGAAATATTGAGTTGAAATTTGGCGAGGTAATAGCTGAGAGTTAACCCCAACAAACGTTAGAGTGATATTAAGAGACTGTGCGTGATCGGACATATTGTTTATTTTCAAGTTTGGCCAAAAAGGCTAAAACTCATGTATTTGGCTGAGACAATCTTAGCATAAAAATTTGGTATGAAAGGCAGCTGTGCCTTTAATTCAAACCCGCTTTGTTTACATGTAACTTAAATCATTGATTTTAAAGGGCTGTGGGAGCTGGATGACTTGACAAAGAAATTTTCTGTATGAGCAAAACATTTCTGTCAGCTTGTCTCGAGTATTCCACGACACAGCATGAGCAGCGGGATCAATCGACTTTGAAAGAAATATTCATTAACTGGCTCGCTCCCTTAAGGCAACATCTGGCAGTCAATAGATTTAATGTAATTTGGGTGTTAAATCAATCTGCAGGAAATTGGCTTTCTTGGAAAAAAAAAAGAAGGGGGGGGGGGGAGAGGCAATTACCTTGATTTTATTAGCAAAAAACTTAAAGGCATTAAGGTTTCCTGAGTGAGTTTGATGAAGGTTTATTTTTTTATGTGTTTTAAAGGTTTCAAGTGAAATTGTGCAACTGAGCCAATGGAGTGGACAGCCAGCAGAGCCTGTATGCAAAGATTAACTAGACAAATTGTATTTCCCGCGAAAATGCAACGTGAATGCTTATTGCTGAAGAACTTGCTGAAAAACAAAACAGAAATGAACTAAAACATGTTGACATATAGCTGACATGAAAGAACAAACCCAAGTTAGCAGAAGAAAGCAAACACATATTTACTGAATTAGGTTTATATGAGCAGAAATGAGCCGAAAAAACAGGAAATTAACTAAAAGCTAAATCAGCTAAAAATAGCTGAAAAGGCAGAAAGAAGCTTAAACTACTAGAAGGAAGTGGATGGAGATGAAATGAACTAAAAATAAGTGGAATTAGTTGAAAAAGCTAAAATTGGCACAAAACAGCTAAATAGTAGCTGAAATAGCAGAAAAAGCTTAAACTAACAGAACTAAGCTGAAAGGGGCATAACAAGCTGAAATCAGTAAAAATAAGTTAATTAGGCTGAAAGTCGCAGAAATTACCACACAAACTTGAATTTATCTGAAACCAGCTAAAATTAACTAAGAAATACTAAAAATTTTAGCAGAATAGGTAGAACAAGCTTCAATTAGCAGAAGGAAGAGGAGGGATCACAATTTACTCCCTTAAGCTGAAAGAAACAGAAATGAGCACAAAAAAGTGGAAATTATCTGGAAAAAAGCTGAAATGAGCAAAATAAGTGCTGAAAAGTTGTAGCTAAAATGCAGAAAAAAGAGAAGAGAAGAAACGTCACATCATTTCCTTCCTCTTCAAAGAGCCACGCCTCTTTTAAGGGCAAACGTGCGATGAAAAACTGCTAGTGTCAACGTGATAATAATATTGGCGCTGCGTTTAAAAGGTTCTGCGTTGTCCGCTGCTCAGCAGAAATGTACAGTTTGCATTTTTGTTTGCCGTCTTTAAACAAAGAAAGGAGGAGATTTGTGGCTTCAGTCCAGCTGCAGAGAGGCTTTAAACGATAACCAGCAGCAGTTTTATTTATTCATCATGTATATGTATAAGTCGTTACATCAAAAAATAAATAAAATCAGGTGTTGTTTCTCCTATAAGACTCTGTTTAATAAAAAACTTAACATTATAAAAAAAAATCTGAAAACACGTCAATCGAATCCAGAATCTAGAGTTTAGTTTTATCGTTGTTCTTTGTTGTGTTTGCAAGTTTGAACCACCTCCTCGTACCAAACCTCTTCCTCACTGTTCAGTTCTGCAGTGGACTTAAAAACTTGTCCACAATAACAAGAGAGCACACCGGCCTCAAGGAGAATCACTGACAGCGGACAACAGATCCCTCTCGAGAACACACCGAGTGGAAGATGGATAGAAAAAGAGACGGAAAGGACGAGGAACGGGAGGAGACTTGGATGACCGGTGCCTTTGGAAACAATGGCAGAAGGGTACAGTGAGCAGAGAAGCGATGAATGAACAATGAGTATACTACCATTCACCAGAACCCGCTCCAGCATGCGCTGAATCTTAATTAACGGGCTGCGGTGAGATGACTCACTCTTTCTATTTTTAGCTGCTGAGATGACAGCACTGTTCTCTTGAATTTATATTTGTGAAACTGCTCTGTTTTATTACAACCATGCATAATGTAGAGTTGTACGAAGCGATGCGCTCCTTTGATCACGCTGGGGATCGTTTTAACACCTTCACTGGCAGACTAACCTGTATCCCGATAGACGATCGAGGTGTTTTCAAGTACTCCTCAGCCTTTGACACCAGGATGGCCTTGTCACAGGTGAGCACTGAGCTGTGGGAGTCTGTGGACGGATGTCTTTTTCCAGCCATGACTCCCGCCGCCTCCATGGCTATGGTCACAGCCTTGGCGCTGTCCAGGCTGTCGGTGGAGTTATAGAGAGGTCGGCCTGGGCTCAGCCCCAAGCCGAGGCCATCGGGGGCCCACATCCCACTGCGAGGGTGCCTTCCCTCTTGGTAGGAGTCCTGCATGGACTCAGTGCTGCTCTGGGCTGTGATGGAAATGAGTGGTTTAGAGGTGGTGCGGGGTGGGACCGGAGGTGGGGTCTTCTTGTAGTTTGGTGCGTAGGTGATGGCTGCAAAGGTTAGAGAAACATATTTAAAGAGCTATTTTTTTGGGGGAAATTGAAATCTAAAAGTAAATAAACATGATGCCCTTTAAACAAGAGGCTCAATAAATAACAACGACAACAAAAAAAACATGTCATTAAGGTTAAAACCAACAATAATATCAGGAAACACTGTGGAAAACATTAGAATTGACTAAAAAAAAATTGGTCATTGTTTTGTGCAACATTAAAGATTAAAAAAACGTGTCTTTTTGTATTTGGATTGCTTGCATTAAAAATAATAGATGGTATATGATTTATTCTGGACTGTACTGTCTGGTATAGGATAACTCCAGGTAGAAAGTTTAATTCAACAGTTCTGGGAAAATCTCTGGGTGTACCAAAAGATAACGATAGCTCACACGTCTTTGGCCAAACCACCACACTAACAAACTAGTACAGAGCTGATAAAGCAAAGTGAAGAAACCATTAACTAAACAGGCTGCATGTACAAGATAGTCAAAACCAGAAGGTGGGATCATGATGGGAAGCATATAACCATTAAAACTCATCAACAGTATCATCATCACAAGAAGCAGAAGACAACAGTTTCAGTCAAAGATCAATATTTCATTTTTTAAATTGGTTAGGTTGATTGACACAATAGCAAAACTTTGGTACAAGAAGCTATAGAAAAGACACAAATTTGTTACCATCTATAAAAATAAAAAGTCAGCTGATACTTCCCGCCAATAAATGTTAATTTAGCCTCAAATCAGTTAAAGGAAGAAGTTAGATTTCAAAGTAGCTTGATGCTAACAGGAGGTTTTCAGTTATATTATAAGCTAAATAAGAATAAATTAATTTAAATAAATCCGATGTTCAAAGGAATTCTGCCTGTGCTGTAAAATTTACGACTTTTCATGTTAAATTTCCCCTGCCTCAGGTTTTACTCCTCTTAGATCTAATTATAATGTACGTTATCAAATTTTTCTTAACTCTTAAGGTAAAAGTTACTACAAAGTAAAAACAGCAAGGAATATAAATGCATTGTCACCTTTAAGAAATAAGCTACTTTGTAATAATTTTTATTTTTAATGGCTTGTAATTTTGTACAAAAACCCAACAACTCCACTGTTATTTACAAAGTAACAAACTATGATTGAACCGTGCTTCGAGCGCTCAGACTCAGATGCTTTGTGAATTGAACCGTAAGCTGGATGTGATTTCTGAGAATCGTAGGCCACTTGTGGCTCCTAGAACTCGCCGGCATGAAGGAACCGATCTTTGAGAAGGCTACAAGCACGGATCGGCAGAATGTCCAAAAATCTGTCTGTTTGGATTCACCATTGAGTGTACCATCAAAACTGAAGGCAGATGGAAATCAGTAGAGTCGGCCTGCCCAAAACAGTTGTTCATCTGAATCTGGCCTCCCCGCTCAGCCTTGGACAGGACAACTTATCTCAAATTGCTCCTGGTGGATACGTACATCAAGAAGCTCTGCTCCCCCCGAGGGCATCTGTGGACCCCATCAGAGTTGTACCAGCTAATAGACACTGTAACATCCTTTATCAGGACTATGAAAACTATCTGGAAGTGTTCATGTTCAATCTCACTGTCTTGTCGTACCACGCCCCTCTGCAAAATGTATTATGTGTTTCTACCGGTATGTTGCTTTGCGCTGAGGTAGATTTTTTGCTGTCTTACACTGTGCCCTGTGTCCAAGGACACGGTGTGAGAGATATTTTTTTTATACCTTCTCTCCCCATGTTTTCTTCCACTTTTCTTATCTAAGCGGTAAGGGCGGCGCTTCATAGAAGCTGCAGCCCTGGTACACTTCCGTCTACCCTTCGGATGACTGTTCAGAGCCTAATTTCGCTGTAATTGACCGTGCAATGACAATAAAGTTGATTCTGATTCTTAACAAGTTAATGAGACTTTATGGCACAGGGCAGCATTTTTCTTTTTTTAGAGAGCAAAACATCTTTCCTTCCCTTTTGTTTCTTCTTGGGGCTCAGATAAAGGAGAAAATAGTTGGAAATATCACAAACATATGCAGCATTTTCTAGTAATGAACTGATTGGCCAAATTGGGAAAACATGAAAACCTTTGAACCTCATGAGATATGGAAGAAGGAGGAAAATCAGCATGGTAATAAACAGCACTCATGTGGACAATCCGGCTCAAAGAACGCTGACAAATCTTCATATGCTGTCCATTTTTGACAGAAAGAAGAGGGATTACTTTCTTTCAAGTGCAAATGAGAAGTTGGACCTAATCGAAAGAGAGACGGGCTGATGAACAGGTCACAAACACCGTCTGGGACTTTTCGTACACGTAACTCAGAGCCAAAGGAAGTGGGAAGGAATAAAACATAATCTCAAGTTATGTTGAAGGTTATTATTTTTTGTAGAACAGAGATAAAATGTGCTTTACATGGTGGTTCTAATATAATTGAAGAAGACAAGACAGTTAAAGAAGACCTTGTAAAATCCAATTTTATTTTTATTTTTCAGTTCTAATGAGCTTTATGTAGGCCCCCACAAAATTAATGTTTCACCCTCATTACACTGTAGCCTGAATGCAACAATTACGCAACACATTGTTGGCTAAAACAAAGGATTGTCTTTTGTGTTGTAACGCAACTTAAAAATTGCTTTAATTTTTAGTAAAAATTAAACCCTGCAACACATTTTGGCCTATTGTTCAACCGTTTTTGTTGTTGTGATGTGCTCAGAGTGCCTAATGGCTCATTACAAAATTACCACCATGGATGCATCAGCTGAAGAATAACCCCAAAAATGTTAAATATAGAGAACGAAAGGGGGGGGGGGGGGGGGGGGGGGGAGGGGGGGGGGGGAGGTGGATAGGAGAAGCAGAGGAAATGGAAAGGTTTTGTGTTTGTTTGCAGAGCAGATAAAAAAGATAAATCAGGTGGGGAGGAGAGATCAGGGGAGGAAAGCTATGACCCATTCCGGGAGTGTGATTCAGCAGGAGGACCAAAATAGAGCCATTATTAGCTGGCAAGTCATGCAAAGGGCAGCCATAATTCTTTTACCCATCTTGGCAGTGACAGTATTACTCAGCGTTGAGATTAACACAACAGGAGCACATTTCTGTTGGTTCCTTTTGGCCTATTGGTTCAAACAAAACTCACTGTTATGTAGCGTTTGAAACACAAAATTGTTAAAATGATACCTTTTACCACTGCTACATGAAAATGATGGAAATACCAGTTGTGTAATGCTCATAATATACCACCATTAACCGCCATGCATCACTTTCACTGTCACTGTGTGGGTTGGGTGATGGATAAAAAAATGATTATTTACATCAAAGACAGACTACAAGCCAAAACTGAATAACGGAAATCGCAGATAGGTCATAAAAATGGAAAAAAAAAGATTAAAATCCAAAAACAATGTCAAAAACGCATAAAGACACAATAAGAATCTAAACTACATGTAACACAAATATTACAGACTTGATGATAAAGCTTGGCTGAATACAAAATCAGTGAACGGACAATGTGAAACATAGAACAAACCAAATTAAACACCACTGACAAAAGTGGTAAATTTTAAAAGTAAAACAGAAGTGCCCAAAAAAACAAAACAAAACTCTGAATCTGGTTTTATCTGTTAGGCAATCGTCCTAATCCTAACTTTCAAATAATAAGCAGGTTCGAAGAACCGAAGAGTAAGATATATTCATTTTGTTTACAATCAGGTGTGAGTGCAAATTTTTAGATCATTTTAGTCATTTAATATAGTGGAGTTACACATTTCTGACACATTTTGTGGGTCAGAAACTGAAATGTTTGTGAACCACTGATCTGGTTTGGAGCTGATCTAATAAACAGTGTGTTTTAAAAGTAAGGCTCTGAATGCCATAAAGAAGGCTGCAACCTGCTTATTATAGTTGTTTACTATGTGAACTAGACAATAGCACTGGGTTAGCTGTTTTGTTTCGTTTGTTAATACCATTTTCTTTCATTTGTTCTTCCCAATTTGTATGCTTTTTATGATTATCCACTGTTGTTGTCCACTGTTGTCATCACTCTTTGTTAAAACCAGGTCCCTCTTGTAAATGAGTCCCCGAGGCTCAATGGGATTAACCTGCATAAATAAAGGTTGAATGAATGAATGAATTTAAGGAAAATACTTGCCAGTATTTCACAATTAATACAAATTGAGAAAAATTAAAAACTCAAACATATAAGCTGTATAGCTCTGTGTGAAAACACTTGAATGAGCTTTCTCGTTTTCAAGCACACGGACTGATTGCGCCCAGCTGTTCTGGTTAAAGAGAGACATAACAGCTCCATTTCTGTTAGGACCTACAAATCTATTATGGCCACTAACGGTGATGTGAGATTTTCAGTCAGGTGGTGGAAGAGTCAGGTTGTTAAGAGCCTTTGTCCCTGATTGGATTTATCATTGCAGAAGAACAACAGCCGTTTGTTTTTCAGCATGATTTAGGGGAATATGTATGACCTGGGGGGGAGAAAGCCAAGTGCAGGATTGATGGCAGACTCCATTTTTGGCATTATCAGTGCTGCAGACAAAACAAGAAGGAACACAAAAATAGCCAAACACAGATGACGAAACATAGACTGGGTGAGTCAGACTTACTGAACCAACCATGTTAGATTGTGAAAGTTTAAAAGTGCAACGACTGGAATGAATTGCAGAGTACAAAGATGATGTTTGCAACGAAAACAACAACAAAATGTTTTATGGGCTTCTCATTTTGAGTTATAAATGAAGGGCAGTCTTTTACTCGCCTATTGTGACTCAGAGGCTGTTCTTCTGTTCGCGAGCGTCACATTGTCGACATTGTGTTTAAATAATGGCCACTGCACCCACTAATGGAGACAGCCCCTCCCTGCCTTCAAGGAGCACACTGAAAAGTATCTGTGTGTCACCGGTTAGATGCAAGTCACTGTGTTCTTCACCTCAGCCTTCATGAAAACAAATCTGGCCTTCTGTCAAATAGATAGATCACCAGGAAACTGAATGGAGATT